TACAAGAATTAATTTTACTTGAATATATATTTTAAAATTGTGTTTACCAGAGCTACAAAATTCAATCATTTAAAATAATGAGAAAAAAATATGAAATAAAAAAATATTTAATTGTCAATTCATCTAAGATAGATAGTATTTCATATGCGCAAATTACTATTAAATTTATTAATGTATAAAAAAATTATTAAAATTGGCTTAGTAATTCATGAGATATTTATATTTTAGATTTTGTAACTATATGGAATTTTCTTAATGAATGAGAAAAAAAAACTCCTAAACTTATATAAAAAGTATAGTAATTTACATAGTTACTATAATATACTATCATTCTTATGTGGATTGCTTATTAAATACTTTGTGTGACTTTAATAATCAAATATAACTTGAGACAAAATTATGATTTAAGCATAGCGATAACTGCAGGTATTCAAGCAAAACTAAGTATAATTCTAGCACCCTAAGGAATTAAATTATTAATTCCGAGTAAAATTATGCATAATACTTAAAAAATAATTATTCTTCAGTACAAATAGACCACAAAATTAATATTGACCAAATTGGCCAGAATTACAACTAATGTCAGTAAGCTTTGTCAGTATTAGATCTTTTCAGGAATCGTACAAATATTAAATGAATTATTATTTTTATCACAATTATTTGATTTACGTTTTGAATATTTTCTGATAATTTCACAATCCAAATGATTAAACAGGTGAGTATACAACATATAATTAGGTTGATGCTACCTCATTTGGATTCAAGACACCGAGGGTATCTATGGTCCCCATTATATCAAATACCACAGCCAATAGAATTCTTAATATAAACCAGAATAGCACCCCTTTTAGTCCATTGGTTGATTTGTCAGGGAGAGACATTGCGCTGTCGACTTTTTTATCTTTATGCAATATATGAAATATGATTATAAAAGTTATATATACTGTAGTTCGATTGCGAAATCCGTGTTTATAAACCCCAGTACTGTACCACCGTTTTGTTATCATAATACCCAAAATCACACATACTCTGAAGATTGGTATTGGAGTGGCATGGTCCCCAAAAAATAATATGTAAGAATTGGAATCCAATTCTTGCAGTTAGTAATGTAATTTATCAAACATGGTATTCTTCAATAGATACAGTCTCCATAGTAAGGAAGCGGAAAGTGACATGCGATAAATGAAATTAATAATTGCATACG